AGGGACAGCGGAGATTTAAAAATGTTAATTGCATGAGAAGTTCCCTTTTCTCTCTGCCAGCTGTTTGGGAGGAGGGAAGCACAGGGTGGTGGCAGAGAGACAACAACGTCCATGCTAATTCGGCAACAGCAGAATGGAGTCTTCAGCCAATCGGCCAGAGGCTGTGGCAAATGTGAGCCGCTCGGAGCACAGTGTGGCAAAAATGAGCAAACTGTACTGGTGACCGTCTGATAAAGAAAGCCTGAGGAGGCAAGGCAAAAAGGAGCCATAAAACGAGCGGCCTCCTGCCTCATAAATAACACTAACATAAATGTCACATGAACTTTATTTCGAAAGCGGGCGGTCTAATAAAGACGCTGTTTTAAAAAAGTCGTATCCTCTGCTTTTCCACTCGCTATTACTCAAGCCGCGATGACACGCGAGATCTCGCCTGGCCACCTTTCCACGCCTAAACCCGCTTCACGTCACCTTTTCCCTGGGTCTGCCACCGGTACGCTCTGTTCTTTCTCTCAATCCCCCTTTCGTCTTGCTCTCGCTCTCTCTCTCTTGTTCTCACTCTTTTCAAATTGAGACGACAAGATAAGCGATTGCCACAGCTACAGCTGCCTGCTGCTCATTGATAAAACCATATCTAATCCGTCTTGGGCTCCCTACACCTCCGATGCACTCCTCTCACAGTCTCAGAGTCTGTCAACTATCTCTCTTTTTGAACTCTCAACCACGGCGTCAGCTTTTATCAGTGAACTTTTGGGCTAGGAAATGGGTAGCGAATGAGACTTGTGTCCTCGTCGAGCACACATTGGGGGTCCCATCACGCTCGAGGAGATGACGTCAGCCTTTTCTCTGCCGTTTGACGCCATCTCCAACCACTCTTGTGCTGCTGATTATAAATAAATGACATGATTTTGATCAATCCGGCTTTTGCACAACAGCAAATAATCTTGGGATAAAAGTGCACGATGTATTTTTCATTTTAAGCAGCGTTGGATTGCTCATGTTTATTCATGAGGCTGTCAGTTTGGAAGCTTTCAGGTTTTTCAGCTTGTGCTTTGACAATAGAATAAATGATAGATTTTGTGTACAAAGAATTGTTTGCTTGAACGGATGAAGTTGAAGTGAAAAGAAACAGTGCGATAAGATTGACTTCAGAATTCCCTCTCGGATTTTTCGTATATCATTTGCTGTCTGTTGTAACTGAATTACCTGAGAGCAATTTAGCTTCCAGATAGAGGGGAAAATAAATATATTACCAAAAAAAAAAAAAAAAAGTGTCCGCTTTGCCAATTAACCCAGTTCCCAAATGACACAGACGTCGTGCTCCCATTTACAAGGCTGATTTTATGAAGCCTGAGATGCATCCATTGCAGAATATTAATGAGCCACAGAGCAATCACTTAGCATATACAAATCACTGCTAGTGTTATAGTTTGTTCCTTTCTACAAGATGATGCACAAGAGCGGCCCATTACCAAGCCTGTTGTTATCTTTGAGGGTATGAAAAATAGTACACAAAAAATTACAAGGTCAGATATGGAATTATTAGTGTTTGGACTGTGGTGTACAAGCCATCCAGTGCACATCAGGAATATGACATTCATAATATACTAATCTGCACATAGCCCTAAGCCTAAAAATGACTGTAACATTTTCAAACATCAAAAATGCATTACTAGAAGAAATAAATTAACCCAAAAATGAACATTCTGTCATCAGTTACTCATCCTCATGTTGTTCCATACCTGAATGAATTTCTTTCTTCCGTTGAACACAAAAGAATATACTTTGAAGAATGTTGGTAACCAAACAGTTGATGGCAGCCAATGACTTCCATAGTATGGAAAAAAATTCAATGTAAGTCAATGGCTACGTGTTAACTTGCTACTACAGTTGGGGAGTAACTAGCTAAAAATTACTTTTTACAAAATGTAGCAGTGTGGTGTGACAAGATGCTATTTTTATGTCACATTTTATTGTGCATAAAGCAAATAATCAAACATGTTTTACAAAATATCTCTCTCTTAAAGGGACAGTTTACCCACAAATGAAAAAGATGCTCACCCTTATTCCACACTTCTGGTTTTTAAAGAAACATGAGAGATTTCTGATCAACACAAATACATCAAATATAGCAAATGATGTTGCACACAAACATTTGAGCTTCCGTTGACAATATTTCATTTGCTCTATGTATTTGCGCTGATCAGTGTTTACATGTGAATAAAAGCCTAAATTAAACTTGTTAATTATATAAAGGGATCATATTTCTTCAGAAGACTTGGATTAAACTCCTTGATTCGTGGTTTGATTTTGCGATCTCTTTATGAACTTTTTGAAGCGTGAACATTTTTGTGGAATGGCTTTTAGTGGAGGGACAGAAATCATTTAGTGTTTCAAAGATGAATGAAACTCTTTGAGGTTTGGAATGACATGAGGGTGAGTAAATGACAGAAATGTAATTTCTGGGAGAACTAACCCTTGAAATCACTTAGGGATGATTCATCTGGTTCATCTTCAACAGATCAGTGATCAGTTCAATAGTTCAGTGATTTAGTTGAATCATCACTCAGTGTTGTTCCCAAAACTCAAATGAAACTCAAACTGTACAAGTCATTTCACATCTTCCTTTTACAGTGAAATAAAGATTTAGTTAAGTAGGGCTGTTTATTGCCTCGTTTTTAATTCACTTGCATAAATGACATTGTTGTTTAGCTTAGCGTTTAGTGTAAATTTACACTTAATTATTTTAATTATGTTGCTCCAATATACTTACTGTTTTTGTGCCAGACAAATACTGCTCATTTAAAAAGAATTATATAGACAGATAATTAAATAATATATAAACATAATGTCTCTTTATACACACACACACACACACAAAGTAAAAATAGGGTGTCAAAAACATTTTATATGGAGATATGTGTTTGCATGCATAGAAAAATAATACTGTCCAGTTTATCAGACATATATATTAATATGAAAAATAGGGATTTAAATGCATGGATACAGCTTGGTTTGAGAGAACATGTTGCATTATCATAGACAGCAGGCCGGTTCAACAACAGCTAATCTAAGAGCAAAGACTGGCCATCATGTGTATGTAAATAGCTTGGCAGGAGTAGAGCTGAAGAAATGCGTTCATTCTTACACAACACTGTGAGTGTCATAGCTCTGCTGCAATGCAGAACCCAAAGACATTTGAGCTTCAGTCAGAGGTGCTACTGTCTCATTTATGGACCAGACAGAGAGAATATCTGCAGGTGTACGCAAGCCAATTTATTTCACTCCCGTGCTTTTTTTCTCAAATTTGTGTTGCCTCAAAATACATGAATAATGTTATGGTAATTCAGCCATATTATTGATGTGTAAGCCAGAAAGAGATGAAGAGTTCTGTGCTGATCACAGTCCCCCCACAGTTTCCTCATGATGATGCCGAAATTAACTCTGGAATCAAAGGATCCACCAGCCGTACCGGACCGTCCTACGATATTTCAGATACAAGGGCTTTACATCCCCGGGTTACGGCGAGAATCAAACACAAAGACTGCTTTATATGCCGCATGATGAAGAAGATCTACCAAGCTTACATTCACAAACACCAGTCGGTCATATTAATGGCCGTGCAATATAGAGTAGCCCGGCAGTAAATACTAACTAGCTCTTTTGCGCCTCATTAAACAATAACAACTTGAGCAAATAAACACCCTCCCTAAACAAGCATTATTTGCTCCGCAAAGCACTATTGCAGAGGGCAGCATAATGTTCACTTAGCAGCAATGTGCCCTATAGACTGTGTGCATTTCTGATCCTGCACCAGCACAGACTAAAAACAATCCAAATCAAATATTTCTAGGGAAAAAATAGAGATTTCTTGGATCAGATCTAAATGAATGGACAGCACTTGAACGGGATGTCCATTGATTTGAAGCATGAAATTCAAAACTTCTGTGGAAATATCTACACACACTAGTTCAAAAGTCTGGAGTCAGAAAGTATTTTATAATGTTTATAATTCATAATGTAACAAAATATTTTTATTTCAAATAAACAATGTTCTTTTGTACTTTCTATTCATCAAATTAAAAAAAATGAAAAAATGTAACTTTTTTCACAAAAAATATTAAATATTAACTGATATTAATTGATTTCAACATCGACACTAATTAAAAACAAACAAAAAATGTTTTTCAGGCACTGAATCGTCACATAGGAATGATTTCTGAAGGATCATGCGACACTGAAGACCAGAGTAATTCCTGCTGAAAATTTAGCTTTGTCATCACTGGAATAAATTACATTTTAAAACATATTCAAATAAAAAGCAGTTATTTTAAATTGTAAGGATATTTCAGAATATTAGTGTTTTTACTTTGTTTTTGATCAAATAAATGCTGCCTTTGTGAGCATATGAGACTTCTTTCTTTAAAAAAAACAAAAACATATATATGAAAGTGAAAGTGAAAGTGACATGACATGTGGCCAAGTATGGTGACCCATACTCGGAATTAGTGCTCTGCATTTACCCATCCAAAGTGCACACACACAGCAGTGAACACACACAAACCGTGAACACACACCCGGAGCAGTGGGCAGCCATTTATGCTGCGGCGCCTGGGGAGCAGTTGGGGGTTCGGTGCCTTGCTCAAGGGCACCTCAGTCGTGGTATTGAAGGTGGGAGAGAGCGCCGTACATTCACTCCCCCCACCCACAATCCCTGCCGGTACGAGACTCGAACCCACAACCTTTGGGTTATGAGTCCGACTCTCTAACCATTAGGCCACGACTTCCCCCTTACTGACCCCAAACTTTTAAACAATAGTGTATAAATCAAAGTGCTAGAAAGATAGATAAAGAATGAATAGATCTGTGTAAACGTGATATAGAAACATCGCTTGGCAGTTTATCAGGCTTGGCTACATGGAAGCCAACACAGTCGTGTCCTCTGCCTTTTGCCCGCTCAGCTGCTGAAAATGTGCTGGTAAAGGACAGCGGTCAGTACTTACTGGACTCGGGGTCAGAGTTGCCGTCTCCCTCAGTGCGGCTGTTCGGTGAGGTCTGTTCATAGTACTCTTCCTGAGGGAAGCCCAAGGGCAGAGGCTGGGTGGTGCTGGCACCGCTATTGGGCTCCTGCTCTCCAAGCCCGCTGTCACTGCAGCTCTCCTGAGAGCCGTCTGGGAGGTGAAAGGTCACGCGGCGTTGCGTCTGCTAAAATACACACACAAACACGCAGCGGTCAAGCTGAGCAGGCAGTGGCTTCAGGCTTTCAGAAAGAAACAGGAGACTTCGTTTTGAATATTTGTTCCTGTGGATCAGAGTCGCAGCTCTGGACCAGCAGCTGTATGTGTTTAAAAAAAAAAAACATTCAAGATGTCTTATCTTACTCACTGTAAGAAGTGAACACATACATGTTATCTTACAGGTAAAGTGTATAATATTTGAATCATTAGTGTCGAACTAGAAGCTAGAACAAAAAAAAAAGTACAGTATATATATATATATATATATATATATATATTAGGGCTGCACGATAAATCGCATGCGATATTTAACGCGCATCTTGTCAGAAAGCCGGTTCTGTAATCAGCGGTAAATCTCCATCACCTGCGTGCTTTCACATTGAGCAGCATTAACTACACAGAGCCGTTGTTCACTGACGAGCAGCGCAAAAAATCGTGCGAATATGGACGTGGTTTTGCGCAACAAAAAAAAAAAACAGAATAAGCAAAATCACATAAACATAAAATATGAGTATTCAAAATTGTTAACAAATAAAGTCGGAGAGGATCAATCGGTTTTCAAATGAAATAAATACAATTAAATTAAGTTAAAAAAAAATAATACAATGAAATAACTTTTTACTCCCTTTGATTGAGCACATGAAGCACAGTTTTTCGACTATCTGAAAAACACATTTTGAGAGTGGAGTGTGCTGCATGGTGCCAAAGTTATTATATTGCCAAGTATCATTGGAAGGAATAAACAAAATCACATAAACATAAACTTCAGTTATGAGATGACTGTCAGCAAGAACGGCAAAGTATCATTTGATCCATTTTAATAAAATGGTTCCCGACACCGGTTCTACTCGGCTGCTCTGCTGAATATCGGAGCCTCGGTTTCCCCTCTAAGCATTGTGTTTCTGATTGATAGAGACTGCCCACAGTCATGCAAACTAGTGATTCTTTTTCACAAGGCTCCACTGCTTTCGACCCACTGGCCCAATTTAGTCAGCAGAGGAGGATGTGGATCAAGTAGCTTTAACCAGGCAGATCTGGGAACACTATGTAGATTTTCTTGTTCAAAGGAGGAGAACCTCTGTCTGTTCAGGGCTGAGATTGGTATGTAAGGTGACCTTTTTGCAGTCTCTTAATTTGCTGGCGGTAAGAAGATGGCCACGGGCAAGCGCAGCCTTTACAGGAGTCCTTATAAAACAGGGCGCCTTTATCTTCTTCTTCATCTAATATCACATTAGACTCTAATATGCCAATATCAATTTATTTGCTTTTTCATATTTATGCCAAGGATAGCCAGTGACATTACTATAGCCAACATGAAAGGCAAAGCAACTGAATTCACAAAGCCAAATTCACTGCAAAGAATAAAAGCCATGGTCCTGAGATACTGAAGTGATTGTGTTTGTTTTTTATGGCTCTGAGTATTTCATTTATATGAGTATTCATATTTGACTGGAAATAAAAGATACCTAAAATATATCCATGCAGTATCAAATATGCTTTCTATTAAAACTCCAGTTGGAATTAAAAACAAAAATACACGCAGAACATATTTTCTTATGTTCTTAAAGCATTGCACAAAGAAATCAAGAATCAAAAGTTAATCATTACCACATGCTCAAGAGCTCTAGGGAATTTAAACCAGCCTTTTTCGAATACTTCTCTTCTGTCACTATGATACACAAATAAAGGCCTTATTGTGATATTTGTGAAAGCAGAGAAAAGGAATAGTTGTGTCTAAAAAAAAATCTGGGCACTAATAAAGAGCATGTGTTTCCAAAAGCAAAATACACATCTCCAAACCACTTACCATTCATTTAAGGACTATTGGTGGATTGACAAAACCAAATCCTTACAGTTGGCATGCTGAATGCAAAGCTGTGAAGGTTCATTATAGTTTGTGTTACTGCCACCTCAGAAGCATATTCAAAACTGAGAAATCAACAGAAAGCTGTCAAGAATATCAAACTACGGTAATAACCATTCCTTAGAAGTTATGTACTTGGTTTGTTGAAACATGATTTTTTTTAGGTTAAAATTTAAAGGGGTCCTATTATGCTTTTTCACTTTTTTACTTTTAGTCAGTGTGTAGTGTGTATGTTTGGGCATAAAAAAGATCTAGAAAGTTACAAATCTCAAAGTACACTCCAAAGGGAGATATTTCGTTTTTAAAAAATCCCTTTTCAAGAACTACAACGAACGGCTCGTTTGGACTACAGCGTTGGTTTCCGGGCTTTGTGATATCACAAAGCGGCTCATTAGATATCATTAAAAATAATTCCCGCCTACAGAAATTCGAATGGTTGGGGGGTGGGGAGGGGCGAGGTTGTGGTTAGAACGCTTGGTTGAGTGAGTGCATCAGACGAGACGACGAAGAAGAAGTGCTGCTGCAGAGTTAGTGCATCAGAGAAAACCAAGAAGAGGAGCTGGTGTGCTGTAGTGTCAAATTGTAGGCATGTCTAGACGTACAACATGACGTAGCTGGGCGCCGTGGACAGACACCGAACGGCGCCACCGGTGTGCCTACACTCAGAAAATAATGTATTCGAATTTTAAAGACGTGGCGCGACGTAACGCTGCGCTTCTCGTCCGGTGTGCGACCGCCTGAAATGCTGTTTTTTTTCACCTCCATGCCCAAACGTCTTTGTTTGGGCTTCCGAAAGAGAGAAAAATAATGCGTTTTTTGGAACCACCAAGCATGAGAGCATGTTCTAGTACACCCCCAAAACAAAATCAAGACTTTGTAAAAGAGCATAATAGGACCCCTTTAAATACATTATAAAGGAATATGGATCACACTATATTTTAAGGTTCAATTCTTGCTATTAACAAACCATTAACAATGACTTTTGCCTCAATCAACTGCTAATGTGCTGCTTATTAATAGTTAGTAATGTATGGTCATGAAGAATATGTGCTATTAAACAGCCAATATGTTAAAAATAGGCATGCTAATAAGCAACTAGTTAATAGTGAGAATTGGTCCCTATACTAAAGTGTTACCAGAATATGTACATCTCAGGGCATTATATGCAGTTTTTTCCTTTTTTTTTTTTTGCCCTCAACAGTTCATTTTAAATGGCCCTGCAGATCGACAAATAATGACAAATTAAAAAAAATACAAAATATTCCATCTAGTCTTTAATTTAGCCATCATAGAAGCTGTATGGATAAAAGAATAAGCAAATGATGATTAAAATAATTTTAGATGTAGTATATCACATCACGCCATGGGCATCCCAAATGTAAAAACTGTCTAAAGCGATATTACTTAACTTCATGTTAACAATTAGCTTGAAAACATTCAACTTATTTAGCATTTATAAATGACAGCGAGAGTGATGAAGATCTAAAACGGCTGTGAAATGTTATATAGTACTATATTTGTACTGTCATCAGCTCTCTGGGGTTTTCTGAGATTAATTTCTCGCTTTAATTATGAGGTTAGTCAGTGGGCTTTCACAACTCTGACCTCTGAGTGTGATGTTAGGTGGTTCATCTCTGATCTGAACTGACAGAACAACAGATTGTCGCTGAGGAATTACGCTATCTATAATTCAGAGGCCATGCAGTCGCAATAAGGCATAAACTGAACTTTTCATGATCCTGTTTAAAATAAACCATACATTAGCTGGCTTGATTTGCTGCTTTTGGAATGTAAAGTAACATGCACATGATCACCAAACATGCTAATGAGAGTCTCGTACATGTCTTGTCTCCTTATTTGGGAAAAGAGGCTAGCTGGATTCATTAGATGCCTGGAGTCCAAACACAACTGGTCTGAATCTTGAATAAGTTATCAGTAACTGCATATGAGACGTCAAATGCTATTTTATCTCCTCTTATTTCCTTTTCTCTCTTTTTTACTGAATACTTAATCAGGATCTGATTTGAATCATCATAATGCCCCTTAAGGGAAATTCATTGCAATTTAGTGCCGTAAAGATGACAACAGTCAGCTGTCCAGAAATGTGCACAAATATCACTTTAATGCTTCTAATTGCTGTGCTCATTCCAAATCTACTGTCATAATTGATTAAATACAGCTGTCAAGGACATTTCAGGAGAATTTACAGCCACAAGGCTCCACTCTCTATTATAAGTCTAAATGGACTGCAAAAAGCAAATGAAAAAGGCACGAGAACACTTAAATGTTAACTTTGTGTTTTTTTAAAGACATTACATTTCTGAATACTTTCAATGCAGACCACATATTTGTACCTAAAATGTACATTTATGTTTTTGAATGTCTGAATACACTTTAAAAAAGAATTCAGATCTAAAACATAAACCATTTGACTTATTTAGACAAGCATACATTTTCATGAACCACTTCACTTTCATGAAACATTCAGGAAAAAAATAAATATATTCTAGAAACAAATGTATTTGTTCCAAATGGAACTAATATCTAATTCATGGTAACACTTTAGTTTAGAGACTAACTTTTACTATTAACTAGTTGAAGCACATACTATATTAATGTTTTATTCTGCATGACCATATTATAAATCCCTTATTCCCTGAATAACTGAACAACTACTTTACTAACTATTAATAAGCAGCAAATTAGGAGTTTACTGATGCAATAGTATTAGTTAATAGTGAGAAAAAGTAAAGTATATAAAGTATACATTTGTATGTTTATATTAACATACTATTTATTCCATGAATTCTATAAACACTTAAAGGATTTGTACATTTTGGTAGATGTAAAAGGATTTATGTTTTGGATGCTGCATGTTTTAATGTCTGTCTTAACATACGCAAACGTCTGTGTGTCATCTCTCCCGTCTCCACGCGGGTTAAGGTGTGTACGTATTGTGAAACATTATCACTTGTTTAAAGACCCATGCCAGAAATCCACAAAACAAACACAAGCTGCTAGAGGAGATACCAAGACCAAACAAAGGCTGTCCAACAGGATAAAACATCGCCATCAAAAGTATGTGCATAGAGATAAAAAAAGAG